CAATATGGTAAGATCTAGAATCACATTTGAGAAGGACTTCTGGACATGACTAAATAGAATCTTCTTGTTTGGGTTCAATGACGTAGGAAAATCTGCTCACTGTGGGTAACACCATTCAGTGGAATGAACCCTGATTGTATTTATACATGAAAAACTGAACTGAGCAAAACTAATCATTACTATTTCCTTCTTTACAATGGATGCAACGTAACCAACAACCTCAAGTGCTGTCTGACAGAACTTCTCCATCATGAGGGTTAGTTTGCTTTTGTCAAGGCATTTTTATAAACAGCAACAGGAAAATTAACCAGTATACCAGGACAAAAAAGAAACCCTGTTACTGGAGCAGATCTGAGTCCTAATGGGGAAGCTACTTATATTGTTTTGTTAACTGGATATGTTGTAGCTTATAAATTCCTTTTTGAAAATTTATGTTTTCCAATGCATTATTGTTATCAACCATAGGAAGACATATAACTGTGATGCAAAAAAATAACTAAGAGATATAAAATTAGGGCTTATGACAAGAAGGGAAAACTAGAAAGAAAAAGAATTTCTGCCAGTAGATAACTCCCTGACTACTGCCCACATGCTGTTCTCAGGAGATAAAGAAAAAAGAAAGCAAACCCCCCCTAACCTTGCAGGGGTGCTCATTAATCTCACCTAAACAACTGACAGTTACTGTTCACTTTGACCCATGATGATCTTGTAAAGAAACTTTGTACTCTATGAAATATTGGTAACCTTGGAAACCTTGTGAACTGAGACTAGCGGTCTCAATCCTCCCTTTCCCTTTTAAAAACCCTTTCACAATTGTAAGCAGGCACCTTACTCTTCCAATAGAGTGAGGTCCCAGCTGGGTTGGTTCTTAGCAACAAAAACCTTTTGCTTTCGTAGTCAGGAGTCACTTCCTTGGAGGAGGAAGTGAAGGAAACATGTAGGCACAACAATCACCAGTTAAAATGGTAATGTTATTACTGTTATAGCACAGTGCTTAATGCTGAACACTTCGTGGGTGAGCATAATTTGACATTTATCACCATATTTACAGCTCAGGGAACATTGTGGATGAGGCTAAGCAGATATGAAGGAATGTAAGAGCCAGAAGAAGGGGTAGAATATAATGGAACTCTGTGTTATTGACATAAAATGGTGTGGTCATCTGCTATTACCCACACAAGATCCTGAGAAGACTGAGCCCATTAACATTCCCTCTTAGAATGGTAGAAGGTTCTTTAGCATCATGAGTAGCATATGAGACTACTCATCAAGTGGTGTATAAGGCAGAATATGAGGTGGCATTTAATATCGCCTCTCTACACATGGATATACATGTGCTTAACTACTGCTGTGGGGAGAGATGTCTTCTTTGGCAAGTTATCCATGTCCCTATAAGTAACCCTGATTGAAGTTGTTGGTTCAATAGTACCAACTTGGATTGAATGTTTTTGCTTTGCTATGCTATAGTTAAGTTATCTTGGGTGAAAGGATTTTGGTTCATTTTCTCCCAGGAATAATATTATGTAAGACAAAATATTTCAAATCAATTCAAATTTTGTAAATGGGCCCTTCCATTGTTTGCAATTTTATATACTTGATCTTATGAAAAGGAAGCTCAATTCTCATTTGAAAGCATGCAAGTAAAAACATGCATTGAGAACATGCAAATATTCTCTTTCATTGTTTTGTAATTCAGCCTTATACATTTGTATAATTTGAACTAATCATCATAGATATATGCTAGCAAAATTTTAGAACTAAATATACCAAACACATGGTGCATCACTTGTTTGCTTATATAGAAATGTGTTCATATCTTATCTAGGTGTTGGCATGTTGCTAGAGTTTTTCTTTCCCAACAGGTCCCTTCACCCTTCAACCCCAAATAAGCACATGGATGCTATATTAATTATAAAACTGTTGGTCAATGGCTTGGGCTCCTTACTGGCTATCTCTCTCTTAATTATTAACCCATAACTACTAATCTAAGTATTTCCACGTGGTCTAATCTCACTAGAGAAGGACCTGGACCTGTTATTTCTTCCTCAACTACAAGGGGTCTTTCCTTGCCATGCCTCTCTGTCTCCCTTCCCCAGAATTCTCCTCATCTTAGTCCTCCTATCTCCCTGCCTCTATTGACCAAACAGAATTTTATTCACAAAGCAATAAGAGAAAGACATATACAGAAGGCTACCCACCATCAATGACAGATATAAATCTATGTTTCACTAATTATGATAGCATACAAAATACTGGATTTCATTATGGCAACTTCATACATTTATATTACCTTTCTTGCCTATCTTCATCCCTCACCACATTCTGTTTAACCCCTTCCACTTTTACCAACTTCATAGCCTCCATTCTACTTTTATGCCTTTTATTTTCAAATCCAAATTCTGAATATGAAAGAATACATTTGGTATTTGTCTATTAGAGTTGGGATTATTTATCTTAACATTCTTTTCTCAAGTTACATCAATTTCCCTACAAATAACAGAATTTTGTCGTTTCTTGTGCCTGATAATACTGAAAATACTCCCTTATATACAATTGTCATATTTTCCACTATTCCATGGACAGGCATATTAGTAATCTATACTCTGTTATCACTGGCTGTTGTCTATAAGAAATGCACCTCATTGATAAAGACCCTAGTTATCATTCAACAGTTTACTAAGTGATGTAAGTCTTTGTGTGCTTATTTGGGGCTGAGGGCAGTGGGACATAGGTGGGACAAAGAAACCAGCAACAACAATCCCCTCCTCCCTTCTCCGTACTAGGATTTGATCTGCCTTGAACTTGCATAGGTCTTGTATACATTATCAGGACAACTATGAACTTATGTATTCAACTTCCCTTAGTGTCCATAAATCCATTTCCTTGAAGGCATCTACTTTTTCTGGCTCTTACCCTCTCCCTACCTCAACTACTGCATTGATCACTGAGCACTGTGAGAAGGGGATGTGAAATAGTTGTCTCATTTAGGGTGGAGCATCTCACAGTCTTTTATTCTCTACACTTGGACCGGCTGTGGGCCTCTGGTACAAACAGAAGCTTCCCTAATGGGGGTTGAGAGATGCATTATCCTATGAATATAGTCATGAAGAATGTTTTATTACTATGTCCATTTAGCAATTTAAAAGAATAAGAATACTAGGTTCTTGATCTAACAATGGTGCCAGGTATGCATTTCATTTTGTAGTGTGGAACTTAAATCCAACCAGAAAATTGGCATGTCTTTGTCAGGAGATGAGTGTCTGATACTGTGAAACTTGCCAATATACAGGAAACTCTCAGGTCAGTATCTGCTTAATCTCTTGATGTTTCATCTGAATTTAGGAGACATTCCATTTACTGGGTTGGCTGGGCATTAACAGGTCAGTCATCACACAGACTTGTTGTTTATTTCTTAAGTTGTCTGCTAGCAACTTAATGCACAGCTAAGTCAGAAACTGGTTTCCTCACATGAAATGTCATTTAGTCAAACATCAGTAAGAACTAAAAGATTATAAATACATGAATTATCTGCTGATTTAATATAAACATTTGCTGTTATATTTAAAACACCCACATTTCATTTTATGCCATCTGTTTCTGCTTAAACTGCCTGTAATACAGAAAAATAGACATCATGTCTCAAACCTTTTTTGACATTTTATAGCTTTTTAACAAAAATAAATGAAAACATTGCATAGGAAGAAAAAAGAAAAAAATCATACCAACACAACAAAGAAAACAGCAATTTGAAAGAATTTATTTATTTGGCTAATTACAAGAGTCTTCATTTCTAAAGCATACAGTATCTATCTGTCCTCTCCCCAGAGATTAGAACATCACTAAACACACAGCATATCCAAGGCTTCCTTCTCCATATACCTAAACTATTTAAAAACATCCCACTTTCTTAATAGCTTCTCTTAATGTTTTTATTTACCTCTCCTTTGAGTTACTAAATTAATACTAGCAAGATGTAAGCACAGAAAACATCCATTTTTATTTAATGTTAGTCATTTACAATTTACTCTAAATTTCTTTTCCTATAATAACCTGGTCGTTTCAAACCTTGTAAAACGTAAGTGCATGATGTCATAATAAATTTTGAAATTTGTAAGTTGAATCTGGTGTTTTAAATGATGGACAGCATATTTCATTTCTAGTAATCCATAACTTACATATCAATTCTTATACAATATTTACTAATAGTTCACATATAAAAATATACTTTAAGTGTATGTCCTAGTTTGCTTTCTAATGAGTGATCGACACCATGATGAAAAGCAACTTGGAAACGAAAGGGGCTATTACATTTTATTGTTTATACTCAATAATGAAGGAAAGTCAGGGCAGCAAATAAAGGCAGCAACCCTGGAGAAAGAAACTGATGCAAAGGCCCTGGAAGATTGCAGCTTATTGGCTTCTTATCTATGGCTTGCCCAGCTTGCTTGCTTATACAACCCAGAAACACTGTCCCGTGGGTGGCACTGCCCATATTTAATCGGGCCTATTCATATCATCCATCAATTAAGATACTATTCCACAGACTTGCCTACTGTCCATTTGATGGAGATATTTTCTCAGTTGAAGACTCTTCTTCCCAGATGACCCAAGTGTGTAACAAGTTTGACAAAAAACTAACCAGCACAGTATGTAAAATTATAAAGTTCTACTTGCAGGAACGTGTGTACATATATGTCTTATATTTAGATTTTTTTTGTTGTTCTGAGATGTTTAAAGGTAATTAACAGGTATAAAATTAAGGTTTGTTATAATAATTTCTTACTTACAAGTTATCTGCATTTATACAATTATAGTATCTAGATATTGGCATACATGTTTCATATGTTTACAAAGACAGTACAATGCATAAATAGCATTTATTCAAAACACACATTTGAAAGTAGAAAAGATAGCACACACTTTTATAAAATTCTGAAACTGAAAACATTTAAATATAGATTTCTTGTGATCCACTGTTCCTCTAAGTATAATTGGCACAATTAAGCCCTGGTTCTCTGCAGCCCAGGATCCCCGTCTTTGTGCCTACCCCTCAGCCAAAGCTGTACAGAGAGAAAAGCCTTTCTCAGCTTAGTATTTCCCAGAATCAGGACATAGGGGTGTACTGAGGGAAAAGCAGCTCTTGCCACCTGTGTGAACAAAAGCATCATATTTTTCTTCAGAAACAAAGACCCCCAAAAGTTAGCAACAAAAGATAAAAAGAAAAGCATGTACAGGAGGAGAGAGGCAATCACTATCTGCAGGGCTCTGATGTGGGCAATGGTACTGGCGTCTCTGCATCCTGGGGCAGTGTGTTGCATCTTTCTCAGATGTTTCCACAAGGAGAAGATGAGCAGCAGAAAAGTGACCAGGGACACAGCAAAGGGTATGGACACGAACACGATATTGGAAAATAAAAACCATAGAACGGAAATCTGTGTGTTATTCAAACTCAAGCTGTAAGACATATTTACCTTACCCTCAGTGATCGAAAATTCCTCGGGTACATTAATAACTATAATATTTAAACACAAGAGAAACAAAGACACAAACAATGTCACTGTCACCACTTTTTTAACTCTGACCTTAAAATAATGGAACATAGTGTTGGAAAAATTTGCTATCTTGAACAAGTAAAAGATGCTGAGACTTGTAGCTAACCAGAGACTAAACTGGTTGGATGCTGACAAGATACTGTGTATTATCCCAGCCATTCTTTCATTTATCCATCTCCCTGGATAAAGCACAGATAGCCACCAATTCAGTAATACTAACCAGAGCAGCATGATTCTCGAGATGGCCAGAGCAGTGAGGATCTGATCCACTGAGGAGATCTTTCTTCTCTTGCCCAAGTCCATGATGTTCACCACTGCTATGAGTCCATTCCCAAAGTTGCCGATTATAAATTCCACACTCAGGATGGCTGTAAATGTGCTCTGCACGGCACCACCCATCTTCTAGTGAATGCTCCAATTTCTATTGTCACTGCTTAGGATTTGTTAACGCATACTACTAAAATGCTGTGCACATTCAGTTCTCAAAACCCCATAGCATATTCTCTTAGACAACTTCCACATGTAATGCCAAAGGATCCATTAAGCCTTGTTAGTGACTTCACACTTTCCATCATAAAAGCCTTGTATTCTCCCAGACAGCTATACTGAGCTCCATCCAGATGTGGTGTGCCTTACACACAGCAGCCTAGAGACATTGCAGATTTTGATCAAGGATAAGGAGATCTGTCATTTGGAGGCATATTTGTTTGCATCACGTTTCACATTTTCTGTTAAATATTAATCTGGTATTGAGTACTGGGTAAATTACATAAAAATTCCATCCTATATAAAAGGCAGCAAAAGTATGAATTTGTGACTAGTAATTCCTTAGTCCCACATATCTTTAAAAACCTTGATTCAGCTATGTTCCAGGCCTTTCAAAGTAGGCAAATCACTTCTAGCTCACTGTCTACAATCAAATAATCTTATGAAAATTATCATTTGTCCAAAGCGCAGTAATGAGAAAAAAATGTATTCACCATTTGATTTTATACAAAGGTATGCACATGCCAATATTCATACACATTTGAATCCAAAGCACATTTTTGTTAACATAATTTTTTCACTATTCAGCATTTATGATTCATGTAGCTCATGCACAGCACTCTGATAACTTTTAAGGTTTAAAAAATGCTAGCAAGTGTCAATCACTGGTGTAAATTGAACTAGTGTACGGAGCATGTGAAGACATATGTGAATATTCCTGTACAACCAGGAAGAAATTACTAAGTTGAATAAGCCTATATACATAGCAAGATTCCTTCTCCTTGTCTGTCTGCCCCTTGTCCTGTAGGATACATTTCTCCATGGACACCAAAGACCTATAGCTTTATCTACTTTCCCTCTGCTATCCCAACATCCCCTCTATTGTGCCAACATCAGTTCTGTTGTCTTTACCAACAGGCAAACAAGGTACGTGAAGGTGCATGGCCTCACAAGAGGTGAGACAAATAACATTACTGAGTCCTTCCTCTTTGATAGCTAACACATAAGCAAAGGTTCAGTAATGCAATATGAACAGTAAATAACAAGCTGTTAGGAAAACATTTATGGTAGTTATTCTACTGTATATGGATGATCCCACCCTCAGTTCCCTGAAGCAAGATTAACTTTGACCAAAAAAAAAAAAAAAGGTTAAACAGAGCTAAATTAAGATCTAAATATTGAGTCATACCCATTTCTGTGGATGTGTTTAGGTAATCATTTATAAGGCACTATAAGACTATAAGATTAATTTTCCTTCAAGTATCAGAAAGACACATGGAGACAGTATAGCAGGGAAAAATGAGTAAAATTTCGGAAAAGTGCTAAAAAAAATAGATACACATAATTTTTATCCATGTGAAATCAAGATGTTTCCTTTAACTTGGCTCCTTCCACATGCCAAAATAAACTCTAGAAAAAAAGACAGAAACAAATGTAGACAACCCTGCTGATGAGGTCCCACAGAGTGGATTCTGAGATGGAAGATTCCTAACCTAACCCTAACCGCAAAGCTTTCCCCAAAAGGCTCAGATGGATGGCAACACTTCCCCTATAAGTCTCAGCATGATTAGTCTGTACCGATGTAGCAACCTCAGCTACCTCCTCCTGGATGTCTACCGCCTATGACTGCTCACCTATATAGACCTCCCAACCAAGACTAGATAATCCCTCCCTGTATGTCACACAGTGAACATGCTGACATTCCATGTGGAAGTAGCAGTAGCTGTCTCCCTATCGGAATGTGCACACCCTATCTGAACCTATGTTTTCTCTTCCTGTGTCACATCCTTCTGCTTTCCCTTGCCACCAGTATTCAGGGTTGCAGTACCATGAGTTTGAAAGAGAGCAAAGAGGAGTATATAGGAGGAGTTGGGGGAAGGGAAAAAGGGGGGAATTGTATAATAATAATCACAAAAATAAATATATTTTAATTTATGTGTATAAGCAACAAAATACATTTACCTAATAACAATAAATATACTCTGCAAATTCTTAATTTGAAAGTAGTAATATAGGTGGATTACAGACACAGACAAGCAAAGAGTTCACACATTTAATTTCAGCACCAGACAGGCAGAGAAAGGAAATTCTCTATGAGTTTATCTACATAATAAATTCTAGGCCAACCAAGGCTATGTAAAGAGACTTCTGTCTCTAAAACCAAGCAAAAATAAATAAATAAACAACATAGTTTCATTATTCTGAATATTTTTGATATGTATTTTCATATGTATTAAGACTATTTGAATTTTCAAGTCCTAATTTATTCTCATTCTCATTCCTAATATAACACTTTTGTCACAGCTTCTATATTGAAATTTCAGTAATGGACTGGTGTTATGCTTGGAGAAAACACACACACATACACAAACATCCATGGCCATCTTGGAGGTCAGCTAACCTTGTCCTGGTACCACTGCATTGGAAGAAGTAGAACAATACAATGATAGCAAGGTTTCTGGCAATGATAATGAGGTTATTAATATGCCCCACCAGAAGGATGACTCTGACCCGGTATTCCAGATGTTACTCATCCTGGCTCCCCAACCCTTTGCACCTGCTCCACTGTAAGTGATCTTGGATGGCACTAGAACAGTTGCCACAACCTTCCTGATACTGCAGCCTTTTAATACATTTCCTCACGCTGGGACCTCCTACCATGAAATTATTTTCATTACTACTTCATAACTGTAATTTTACTGTTTCTCTGAACAATATTCTGTACTGAGTATCCTGATGTGTTGAAATAAATAACTGTATTTGCTAAGGGTGTAATGTGTTTAATTTGTTCTTATTCCAAACATTTATTTGAAACTTTATGTATGATAACTCACAGCACAAAAATACTGGAATTATAATTACCAAATGATTTAATATTTTCTACACTTTTTGTGTTACTTTATACACTATGAAAATTGCAACTGAATTTTTCCCCACAAAACTCAGTGCTTTTGGATGTGACTAATTCAGATTGCATTATTTTTCACAATATGCTTTTAATCAACTCTTTTTATTTATTTGGCTTTGAGATTGTATTTTAATTACAACATTTCTCCATTCCCTTTACTCCTCCAAAATGTCATATATACCCTTCCCCACTCCCTTCAAATTTGCAACCTCTTTTTCATCAGTAATTATATGTACGCATGCATTTGTATATACATATATATTCCCAAATATAGTCGGTTGAGTCCATATAATGTTTCTTGTATGTATGTATTCAGGAATGGCCATTTGACACTGGAAAATCAATTGGTGTTCTCTCATTTGGCGAGGGACACCTCTCCTGTCCCTAGCTTTACTCAGTGCCTGTTGTTCTTTGTGTAGGGTTGAGGTGTTGTGGACTTTTCCTTATGCAGTTTGTCACGTTCATTGTGTACTGCTTGTTCAGCTGACATTTAGGTGATCATGTTCATGACAGTTAATGGATGTAGCTTCTGATGTTATTAGTATGAGACATAGTCTCAAAGCAAAATCCCTGATCTTCTGACTCCTAAGATTTTTCTGTCCCCTATTCCATGTTATTCCCTGAAGCTTGGGTATGGTAGTATTTTCTAGATGCATCTATTGCAACTGGGCTTTTCTATAATGATCTCCATTTGTTGCAAGAAAATTTTTCTTGATGAGGAATGAAGCCTACATTTTTTTTCTGTGAGTGTAAGGACAAATATCATAGATAGTTGTTAGAAATTATGCTGATTTAGTAAACTGGTTGCTGTAGATTCTCCACCAATAATCATGGTTTCATTGATAGTTAGCTGATAAGTTGTTAGCTATGTTTCTACTACCAGGCTTGGTATCTCTCCTGTTCAGTGGCTGGCTCTTAAGTCCAATTAGAGAGCAGTTGTTTACTGCCAGGATATGTTTGCCACTGCTCTACCTATTTATTATGCAATGCTGATCATTGATGTGTTTCATAGATGTCACAACTTGATAGAACTTTTGGTTACCTACACCTTTTGGAATCTTGCACAGTGGCTTCTGGTCCCTGAAAACTAGTCTTCAGGAAGTAAGGTAACAGGTCAGTTCCAGCTCTGAAGTATCTGGGCCCTGTTTCTAAAGTGCATGGTAACTTCAGCAAGAGGGGCATATCTTCAAACTCTGGTGGTAACCAAAGGCAACAAGAACTGGCTGCATGTTTTAGAAGTCTCTTAGACTACCCTAGCCATCAATTCAAAAGAAGGCTTGTCATAGTTGGTATTGAGGTTTTGTTGTTAGGAAGTCTTTGCCTTAATGAGAAGAGTTAGTTAAAACTACACATATGTATGCTCTCTCTTTATTTCTCTCCCTCTCTCTCTTCCTCTCTCTCTCTCTCACACACACAAGTATGTAAGTATGTATATGTATTTTTATTTACTAAATTATAGGTATGCTTGGATAAATAGTTAATGTCATGATGCCTTGTGATGTTTTCAGACACACCTGTGATTATTTTTCCTACCTAGCTCCTCTCCCTTTAATTATCTTACCTCCTTCCCTACAGAGCTCTGCTTTTCCCATTTCCCTATGGGATCACTTATATACTGCTATTCCCCTTTACCTTCCTCCCACTTCTTCTGTATTTATCACCTCCCCAAGAAGCCCAACTTTTCCCATTTTTCCTATCAGATCACTTGTTTCTGAACTTATTTATCATCATCAAAGAATATGCATAATGAGCCCAGGAACTTCTTAGGGACCCAAGGTTTCAGTATCTTTGAACTGGCATCTCAGCCACCACAACACAGAAAGAGTAGCTCGTCTCAGCTTACTATTTCCCAGAATCAAGACAAATGAGTGGCTTGTAGGGAAAGCTAATCTAGAAGAGTAGTCAAATATAATGATCATTACATCTCCCACCAATCCAAAACTCAAAATTTCTATGACAATAAAAATGAAATATATGGCATATACCACCAGGAAGGAGAACCCAGTTTGCAAGGCTTTCACGTGGACCATAGTGCCAGCATCTCTGGTTCTTTTGGCATTGACCTGCATCTTCCTAAGATGCTGAAACAGTGAAAAAGTAAGCAGGAGAAAAGCTACCAGGGACACAGTGAAGGGTATGAACATGAACATTGAGTTTGTGGGTAAGAAAACATGGGATGAGTTGGTGACTAAGAGATCACTGGGAAATTGTGTCAAATTACTCAATCTATCAGACATATTTCCTTCAGATGAATTAATATGTGAATGAGTATTTTCCAGTGTAACTACAATGTTCAAAATCAAAAGGATTAGAGATACTACTAAAGTCACTAACACCACCTTTTTAACTCTCCATTTTAGGTAAAGAAAAAAAGAATTAGAAAAATTTGCTACCTTAAGAAAATAAAACACACTGAGGCATGTGGCTAGCCAGATGCTGAAATGGTTATTCACTCTCCAGATAATTTCAGTCGCTATAAGCATTGCTGAATTCATAAATAAATGTGGGCACAATATGGATGCCAAAATACACACGAGCACAGACCACACCAAACTGAGTCTGGAAAAGGCCAGAGCAGTGAGAATCTGATCCACTGAAGAGATCTTTCCTCTCTTGACCCAGTCCATGATGTTCACCAGCGCTATGAATCCATTTCCTAAGTTTCCAGTTACTACTTCTATAAATAAGGTGATCATAAAAGTAAATGAAAGGTTGCTGTTCATTGTGTGTAGGAATATGGTTTGATTTAGAATATCACTGCTGCATTTAAATAGCTATGTATATTGGTTATCAAACTTTTTAAATTCCATGTACACAATACTGACTGGAAAACATCTAAATTTCCCAGGATTGATCCATAATTTCTTCAGGAATATTTTATTTTTCTTCCCAAAGACCCCAGTTATGCTTCATCCAGGAACTGTGTGCTTTACACCCACAATATGGAGTTTCCTCAAGTTGAGTGAAATGCTGAAATCTCATCTGCTAACCTACAAACAAAGGCATATTTATTTGCATTATTTTCTTCTTTGCCTTACCAAACATTTTAACCACACAACATGAGTTATGAGCAATATTAAAAAATAATATAAGAGGAGAATATGAATTGGTATATAGTACTCCCTAAGGTGATGATTTATAAAGATACTACTTAAATAAATGAAATGCTATTATCTAGAGACATATGTAAAACAATGTACACATTGGTCAAAAATCTTCAAACATAGTACCAAAATTGTCTCAAAATCTTCTATAAATTTTTGCTACTATGCTCATGTCACAGAGATTACACTAGTCTTTTTACTTTATATAAATCCATATGGACAAGCACCTACACATGTGCATGGAACACATGCATAATAAGCACATATTTATAGGGAATCCATCTCTCTTCTATTTCCATTTCAGTAAAAGGTCTCACAGATTCAACCTTCATGCATCAGCTCAAGCTAAGAAATATGACAGTTTTGCTGTATTTATCTCAATTGTCACAGAACTAATTATTAAATCTAGAACATTATTCATGTCAGTAAATGTTTTTACTGACAAGCTATATCCATAGCCACCTTTTTACTTTTTATTCTGAGAATATCGCAAGGAGTTACTTAGTCTGGCCTTAAAGTCACTCTATAGTTCAGACAGGGCTTGAATTTGGGATCCTTTAACCTCAATCTCAAAGTACGGGGGTTGGGGAGGATTATAAACATGTTTTTGTAAGGCACAGCTTCCCTCATAGATTTTTTTTTTTAAATTTTACACAGAATTCCAAGTTACCATCACACAGTATTCAGTACAGATATTCAGTAATCTTTGAGAATATTCCCCATGTGTAGGAATGTGGTAGTTTTAAATTGTCCCTGTAGCTGTCATTAAGGTAAATGAGCTCCTTTGAATAGAAAGAATCCTCCTTAGTCTTACCACTTCCGGGTCAGTAGGTTGATTCCTTTATTAGCACCAAAAGCCTGATGCTTTCTACCTACCATTTCTCATCTACTGCTACCATCTACTCTGTAACCATCACTTTGGGCACAAATACATATTAAACATGATACTCATCATCCTGGGCAAGGTGGGAAGTCAAAAGCACATAGAGCCATTCTTATTTAAGGAGTTAGTAAACTAAAGAAAATAATATGTCATATGCTAGCATACAACAACAACACGTTCTAATTCTCTTATATTTTCCAGGGAAACCTGGAGAATTCATTGTGAAAGACTAATTCTATACTTCTACAGTCTCCTAAAAACATACTATGCAAAAAAGTGAGTTCTCTATGTGTTTCTGCAGCCTGGTCTTGTCCTCTCCATCTGCATCTGGGTTCTAGCTCGACTCAGTGTTTATGTATGGGTCTAATGGGCCCCCAGACTGATAGCTGGAAAGCCAGCATGGGACTGACTCAGGCCCCCCTGAATATGGGTCTCAGCCAGAAGGACTGAGCAGTCTAAGGGACCTCAGACAGTGGAGCCAGGATGTATCCCTGGTGCACAAAAGGACTATGTGAACACATCCCCCATGGAGGGATAACTGCCTTAACCTAGAGACAGGAGAGAAGCCCTAGTCCCTACTTCACATGACCTGTCAGATCTACATGACCCCAACTGGATGGCATTCCCCTACATATGGAATTGGAGTGGGGGGAGGGGAGGGTGGTTAGAGTGCATGTGAGAGGGCAGAGAGGGTAAAAGGGAGGGAAGGAAGGAGGGAGGGAGGGAGGGATGGAGGGAGGGAGGGGGAACTGGAATCGACATGTAAAATAATTAAATAAAAAAAAAGATTTAACTAGGCATTAGCAAGGCTGCTCCATTTATACTTATGACAATACCTTGTTTATGATGTTTTGTAAAAAGTAGTTGGCTGAAATGAATTCATCTCATTTGTTTATGGAAAAAAAGAAAAGATGAGTTCTATATTTTCTAAGAAACTGACAGGTAAACTAAATTTAGGGGAGAGATATATTGAGAATGAAATCAGGCCAGAATGGGCAAACTTTAAGGAAAACATAAACATGGAAATCAACCTACCAGCAGCACAGCGATGGGACGGCCCTCTGTTAACCCTCAGTCAGTGCTGTAAAACACCCGAATTATTTCCTTAACAGGAAGAGATTTTGGGCTCACAGTCCGAGGTTCAGCTCATGGTCGTGGGCTCCAACTGTTCTGTGGTCTGTGGGAAGGCAGAACGGCCTGGTAGAAATGGAGCAGAAATGCTCCTGTCACGAGGCAACCAAGGAGAGTGAGAGAGCAAAGTAGAGGCAGACCTAAAATCCCCTGGGAAGCCACACCTCCAATGACTTAACTTCCTTCTCCTAAGCCCCTCCTACTTCTCAAAGATTCCACCTTTTCCCTATACACTTCAGATTTGCAGCCTAGGCTGTAACGCATGGCCTTACAGGGACATTTAACACAGATATCTAATGGCTCTTCTGGCTTACCTCTCCAGGTAATAAGGATATGCTTTGAGAAGAAAAATGCAAATACAAGCATAGGGCACAACTGTGTGGAATGGATGCTGATGGCAGAGCATCTGGGCTTTAAGAAAACGGTCTGAACTAAGGGAAGTCTTGTACACTCAGCCCCGAGGAACTGGTCCTGATGGAGCACTGCATCCCCTTTCACTCTGGATGGAAATGCCATAGATTTGCACTTGAACTGCAGGTGCTGGGTAAGGACAGCCTTTTCCAAACAAGGTGAAAGTGACTCCAAGGGAAGTTGGCTGTAGATCCAAACATCAGAAAAAGTAAGTCAGCACTGTAGAAGAGCAGTATATTTCTCCACTTCAAATCCAACATTTTATTAAAAATTAAATCACCAATTACATTTGTGTTAGGTGTGTCATTCTTGACAAGTATATACTGAGTATACCAAATATAAGTAATGTTGTGAATCATATATAATTTTCTGTATATGTTATTCTTTGTTTCTAAAATTATAATAATCTGCCTATTCATGTATTATTACATATAATCTTTGAAAAGGCTTCTATATAAAAGTCGTTACGATTGAAGAGAAAGTGGTATTTTCTTATTCTGCATGGATTTTAAGTAATGTTGCTTTTAAATGTACCTTGTACATCTAAAGAAATTATACAATGGTTTACAACAAAAATAAATTCATAAATATGCATGTATCTAAATACACAGAATCATACTGAGACGTGTGTAATCATCTTATTGCCCTATGACAGACAATGTATCTGTGCACCTGGTAAAGAAAATATATAACAGCACATTAAGCAGTAAGGTCCTCAAAACTTGCTATAAATTGAATAGCTGAGCCCTGGGGCTCTGCTATGATTAGTGAGAACAGCAAACCCAGTTAGAGACAGCTCATTTCTACTTAGTGGTCAACACTAAAACTCAAGAGATGGCAATATCCGGCAAAGCTAGTAAGTTTTGGTCACTGATACCTGTATATCAAAGTTTTTCTTGTAAATATACTAAAAGTACATCACAAAAATACAAAGGTATATTAACCTGGGGTAGCCAAAGAACTGTGGTCACTTAGCAGATGACAGTGCCCAGAGGACAGGATGCAAAATCATCTCCTCTCGGTCTAGCAGGCATGAGGTCTTGACTGAATTGAATATCTGAACTCAAATTTTGTGGTCCATTACATGGAGCAGTAGTTTCTGAATTTCAGGTCCCCACCTTCAAAAGCTTTTCTTCCTGTCCAAGCCAAGGTGATTACAATGTACTTGTGTGTTTTGCCTAATCTGGACTGTATAGTTGAAATTTACAATTTTGACAGCTAACAAATTATTCAGTTTTTCCTTGTCTGTTGAATAAAGGAAATTATTATAGGCAAGCCTAAAAGATGTTGATGCCTATGAAATACTCTAGTTCTTTGATAGCCAATAATATACAATCACTATCATCTCCAAGGAATAAGACTGATAGTTACAACTGTTTGAAAATTATAGGAAACAGTGTTAAATTCTTGCCATACTAATATTGGGTTAAAACACTTAGATGCTGCCATGATCAGATGAAATACAAGGTAAATGCAGACTAGCATAGATTTGCATTACCTAAGAAGATGCTTTCCAGTTATAGTCTCTGAGCAGACATCACCTCTGACAACTCTATGTGCTTCTGAGTTGACAATTGTCTCTTAGCAGATGTTCAATCTAAAGCACCTCATCACTATTACCATGGGCTTCTAAGAAAAGCAAAACAGTTCACTGCTTCACAAAGGCTGTGCCCCTTGAGATAGCAAGTATTTGATTGTGTTTGAGGGAGTTTACTTCCAGAGATTGAACCCAGAACCTCATGCATGATAGGCTCAGACTCAGAGCTGCTCCTCTAGCACCCTGCAACTTTTGACCACTCATAAACGCCATGCTAATTTAGAATATTAGTTACACAATAATTTTATTATCAGAAAGTAGAAATTCTTAAAATAACGAAAAATATAAAATAAGAACAAAATTCATAAGGTTAGAGTTTATAATTCATTCCACTGGAAGCCAGAAGAAAATGTAGAAAATTTACAAGGCACAAAGTAGGAAAATCTAGACCAGTAGTTCTCAACCTTCCTAATGTAGCAATGCTTTAATACAGTTTCTTATGCTGTGGTGACCCCCAATCATAGAAATATCTTGTTGGTACTTCACAACTCTGATTTTAATAATGTTAGGAACTATAATGCAAATACCTGGCATGCATGTATCTGATATGTGAACCCTAAAATGTAAAAATTCAGATTGACAAAAGTTGATCTAGAAGAAGAGAATTAAAGCCTAGAAACATGACTTACAAAAATTCAAATAGTAAGTTATAAAGATAAAATAGATTATAGCAGCTATAAAAATCTCCCACACTGAGCCAAACTCCTGGAATCCAGTTTTAGAGAGGGAGGAGATGTGAGCAAAGGGGTCAAGACCAGGCTAGAGAAACCCACAGAAACAGCTGACCTGAACAAGAAGGAGCTCATGGACCCCAGACTGACAGCTGGGAAACCAGCATAGGACGTAACCAGTTCACCTAAAAGTGGGTGTTAGTTAGGAGGCCTGGGGCACCCGATAGTGGAGCAGTATTTATCCCTAGTGTACAAATGGAATTTGGGAGCCCATCCCACATAGAGGTATACTCTCTCAGCCTAGACACATGGGGGAAGGCCTAACCCTGCTCCAAATGATGTGACAGACTTTGAAGATCCCCCATAGAAGGCCTCACCCTCCCTAGGGAGCAGAAAGGGGATAGGATAGGGAGTTGGAGGGGGAAAGGGAGAGGGGTACAGGGAATGAGAGAAGGGAGAGGGAACTGGGATTGACATGCAAAACAAGCTTGTTTCAAATTTAAAGAAAGAAAACAAACAAACAAATCTCCCACAAATAAAGCCTGGAACATGATTGAATCATTAGAGTATTGGCAAAACTTTATGGAATAATCTGTACCAATATTTCACAAACCATCCCACAAAATGAAAATAAAAGGACAGAATTGTCCTGATGCCAAAACTGGATAAGAACACAACACAAAGAAAAGGCCAACCTTATTCAACAACACCTTAGCAGGAGACGAAGACAGGGAGATCTGAAGCTTAGTTGGTCATGACTACACAGTTTATTTGAGGGCAGCCTAGGCTAACAGACACCCTCTCACAAACACACACAAAAGTATTAGGTAGATTATGTACAATAACCAAGTCAGGTGCATGCTAAGGATATATGATTGACCCAATATATGAAAATAAATAAATGCAATGCAATAAATGAACAAACTTAAAGGCATAGATGACCTCATCTCAATAGATATGGGCAAGTTCATCACCCCTGCCTAATAAGAGTCCTGAAGAAATCAGGAATTAAAGTAGCATACTTCCACTTGAGAAAAGAGAGACATAACAGTGCCGTTGCCATTTTAACATAAAAACAACAAGACTGAAATACCATTTCATGTTCCCATTGTTTTTATTCAGTATGCTACTTAATTTTAGCAAGCAGAACAGTTCAAGAGAAAGAAATAGAAACAGAAAAACAAGA